CCTTTTTACCTTCAACTTAAACATCAAAGGTAGCATTGTTTTTATTTTTGTTATAGGGTGGTTGGCAGATATGCAGTAAAAACACACGGGATGCACACACACACACACACATACACACACACTCACAGTATATATATAAGAGATGTAAAAATGTATATATATATATTTTTTTGTAAAACAATTTTTTAAAATTGGAACCATCTCAATGCCCCTGCGTCCCAGACCGGCCTCTTCGGCGACGCAGTCGAGAGCTTTGCCCAGCAGTTCTCTGCCACACAGAAGCAGACTGAGGCGATCCGTCACATCCTGACCCGGCGAGCAGCAGCGGCCTCCACCCGTATGCCGGCCGCAGTGCCCCAGCCTGCTCATCGAGAGGAACTGTAGCATCCGTAGCAGGCTCCAGCCAAGCAGCGCCGTGGAGCCGGGCGTTGGCAGGCCGCCCTGCCCGTCCAGGCCCCCGTCAAACCTGGTTGTAAGCGGAAGAGCAAGCAGCCCTGAGATGGGCGACCCAGAGATGGAGGGATCTGCTCTTCGGGAGATGGTGAACGCACCACTCCCTCCCCCGGAGGAGGCCAGGTGGAGAATATTTTGTTTCGTTTTGCCCCGCCGTTGGCCTCAAGGTTGATGGCACCCAAATTCTTGACAAACCCAATTAAAATAATCTCAAGGTATTTATGAAAAATTTTAAAAAAGTAATTAATAAACACACAAAAAATTCACCAATGCTTTAATTCGAAGATAGCTCACCTTCTAAAAGCAACCTATTTATTACTTTTATTCCCTTGAAATGAAATCATTCTGACTTCAAGATGCATTGCTGCATTGAGGAAGAAAATTATAGTAACATAAACAAAGTTCCAAGTGCCCAACCAAAGGGAATGCTAATCACTATAATGGTGAATAAAAAAAAAAAACACATTTTAGGAAAATCAACATCAATTTATAAAGTTAGCTTATGTGATGTTCTCTCAAATATTTCAGTTGTATTGAGAATTCAACATTCAAGATGACTGCAGACATGGAAGAAATGGGTGAAAAGTCTATTAAGACTTGTTTTATTTTCCTCTTCTTCTGTTTTTATGTTGCACATTAGCAACATATTAGTGCACTGCTGCCTCTCACTGGTGTATTAATGTCATTGGTTCCTTTGTGGCTACTTGAATATTTTAAGTAAGTATCACTCAAAACAGTAAGTTAATAGTTTTATTTGCCTTGAAAGTAGCTGTAACTTAATAAAACCTAGTAAGTATAACAACTAAGTAAAGATAACTAATTCAATCTAAGTAAGGTAAACTATTGGATTTTACAGTGTAACTGTGGCGTTAAACTCAGTTAGTGAGGGCTCAGTTAAAATATTGCACATATATAGGCCATTCAGATTACTTGTTAAAATGCAATGAAATACCTTATATCAGCAGACGATGTAGGCTACATCTGTGGGTTGGAGACTCCTTCACTGGCTACAGGCTCTAATCCTCATTTGCGCAAGTGTGAAATGCGGTGCTGAAGTGAAATAGCGGGGCAATTTTGATAATAATAGCCGTATTATAATAGGCCACCTAATAATAATTATAATAATAATAATAATTTAATACATTTATAGGAGAATGAGCCTAATATCGTCTTGATTGTCGACAAAGACGTGCTATCGCCGACTATCGTCGATGCATGATACTATCGTCTATTATTCTACGTCTACTATGCATTTTTGTTTTTGACAGCCAAATATGGCGAAGAAGTCTGGTATTAGTCTTTAACCAGCTGAGACACTGCCAGAAAGACATGATTCAAAACATGAACAGCACAAATCAAGCAATGTGTTCATAATTGGACTGCTTATTGCCATGTTTTTGAGTGTAGTCAGCGAGGACGATGCAAGGAACCTTGTGTTGACTAGTTATTGTCAGTACATATTAAATATATAAAAATAACTATGTTTTTGCTGCTCAGCTCTGCTCCTGAATCGCTCTGCAGGAAATGCTATCAGACTGATTTGTGGAGGCGTATGACAAATGATTTGTGATGGAAAGGCTATGTCATGGATGGCTTTACTCTTTCTGTTTTCTCTTTATTGTCAAGCATTCTATCTTTCATTGATTTTCTCATAATTCAAAGTGTTTTTATGTAATATGTAGGCCTAAAAGCAGGATTTTAAATAAAATAGGGAACAAAAGCTACCATTTAACATTCTCCCATGTTCTGAGGTGAGAAACAAAAATGACTGTAAAACGCTGATTCAGTCTCTTAATTAGAAGTGTTTGAGACAGTCGTCTCACCCTCTCATCCCCAGCTGTCTGCTCAAGTGACGTGTGCATCTTAAGCCTTCTCATACACTACCTATGACTAATTACTGAATCTCTCTTGTGTTAGATGTCCTGGACTGTTTCTAATCCAACAAGATGCTCCACTTCAAATTGCTGACAGAGAAAATGCCATCATTTGTGCTACACTTACTTATTTTTTTCCTCAAGCTTTTTTTATTTCCTTTATGTTCACAAAAATGCGTGCCTTGGTAATTATGGGTCATTTTCTGGGCTCTTTGCGTAATTAGAAGTTTTAATTGTGCCCCCGGTACAAGGGAATTAGCTATAAGCTTTACTCTCCAAAGTGAACTGCATGCTTCCGCTGGTCTTTGTAAGGCACTTCCACTCATCGAACAACTGACTTTGTAACATCAGTCAATTACAACCATCCATGGAAACTCAAGTGCCTTTTTTTATTATTATTTGTTCCTGTGATGAGTGGACGAAAATGTGGAATCTTTGTTCCTGACAATCAATTATATATACTGGGTGGCTCCTAGGAAAGTGTTTTGATTCTGATGCCTTTTATGAATCTAGATAGACCAGCATGTGAGAGATTCAGACATTTTGAGATCACATAACATGCCTATTTGTTTGAATGCAACGAGAAACACACTCCCCTGTTCCAAGATCTACCGAAAGCTATATCAATGGATGATGCATATTTGTATTTGTAAGAAAATATTGTTTATTTAATAATTCTGCAATTTTGTGTACATCTCATTTGCTTGCATTAAATTCATTAAACCATATTATATATTAACATTGGCCACTTTGGTTTCTAGATATGTTTTTATGAAGAAAAAAACAACAACTCACTATTGTAAAGCTTGATAGATATTTGGCCTTGATGATTTATTTACCTGTAATTACTTTAAGAGATAAATGCATGGATTTTTCAGGATTTATATATATAGAAAAATCAAGAGCAAAAGAATAATTTTTAGTCAAATATATGCATGTCAAAATATGGCTCTGTATTATCTTTGATCTAATACCAAGTATTAGGCCTACTTTTTGTACTATTGCATTTGAAATATTGTATTTTGCCGTCTCCTGCTTTTGGATCTTCTTTTTACATTGTTAGTCAGTATTAGTGTTGTCAAAAGTACTGGTACTTCAGTACCAAGTCGATACTTACATTTTAAAAACGTAATAATATCACAGCCCTTCTGCAGTACCGGTAATACCGAGTACCCTTACCTGCTGATAGGCGGCTACTTTCACATGTTCCCATATTTATGTGAGCGCTCTGTGAAGGGAATCAAAGGTTTCTATCATAAACTGTAAAAAAAAAAAAAAGATGGACGACATGTCTCCACTTCTTTCCACTGCAGACAAGTGAAGCCAAAATGTCATCTTACGCTGTTTTTTGGAGCCTGAGTCTGTGCAGTAGTGATCGTAAACCAGAGGCACGATATCAATGTACCACCCAAACTCCCACAGACACAATCACAAGCACACAATCATGACACCCAACTCTGTTTTTAGAGCATCAACTAATTAAAAGCAAACTTACTAGAAAATTGAACACTTGAACATACATCAGTGCGATAAGAACTATCTAAAATGACAGAAACCATTACTGGGAAAAACTATTTGAAGTGTAATTTGAATGTAATTGTAATTGACTGCTGGTTCCTTTAAGATTTTAGACCCCATTTTGATAATGGGGTTTTCAATTTATGAGTAAAATAAAGCCTGTGGTAAACATAACTTGACGATACTTGACGTTTTTTTCTACAACGTAAACTGCACACAGTCACCCAAACTGTCTTATAGTTACTTATTAGAAACACACGTTTTCAAAAATAAGCATAACTGCTACAAACTGCTTCAAAGTTTCTGGTATGGGTGTGTATAATTTACGTTGTAGAACAAAACGTCAAAGTATTGTTAAGTTATGTTTACCACAGGCTTTATTTTACTCATAAATTGAAAACCCCATTAAAATACCCCATAAGAAAAATCTCAAAGGAACCAGATCTGACGGGGTTCTGACATCATACTTGCACCACTCTATATGCCAGAGTTTGTTCAGCATGAACTCTGCGTACTCGCAAATTTAGTTTAGCTTTAATCAACAAAGTATAAACAAGATGCAAATATTAGATTCATTGTGCAGTATAGACATATTTTAAATTTTTCCATTTTTATTTTTTAATGCTGCTAAGTACACATTGCAAAGTTTCGGGAGTGATGACCGATTTCAGGACTGAATCTGAAATTGCGATGTTTGACATTGTGATTGATAACTAAAGCAACAGACGGGTCAAAATAGATCTGTGCATTAAGTCAATAACTAAGCAAGTACAATAGACCTGCCACTTGTTCTGTTACCTGTAATTGTTTTATTACTTTCATTTGATCTTTTTATCGCAGTGTTTGCATAACTGAACAATATTTGAAAGCTACATGCTAATTTTTTTTACGTATTATTTACTAATTATTAACAGCATTAATAATTAACAAATTGTATTTATTTTATATTTTTCCAATAAAATAGTACAATAAAATAGTTACAGTAGTTTTTGCTATGGTACCGAAAATGATACCAAGAAGTGTGGTATTTTACTGGTATAGGTACAGACTGCTAAAGTTTTGGTACCATGCCAACACTAGTCAGCATATTGAGTTCTTGAGCATTTATGCATTTATGTTTTAATTGATTAGTCTGTTTTGATTCTGCCTTCACAGTGCCTGGTTTTTGAAGATGCTCCAAATGGGGTAAAGGCGGGTCTGGCAGCTGGAATGCAGGTGGTGATGATCCCAGATGATAACCTGGACCGCAGCCTCACCCAAGAGGCTACATTGCTGCTTAGAAGTATGGAAGAGTTCAGACCAGAAATTTTCGGTCTTCCAGCCTACCCGTAAGGACAGTAATCAGCACAGTGATTTAAATTCCAAAACGCTATATCTTGTCAATTTTTGAAAAATGGAACCAGGCTGCAGTGTAGCTCCTGCAATCAAAAACAGGAGAAACTAATCTCAACCATTATTTCTGTCAGCCATGGACTTGCTGTTCAAGGACTCAACAGAATGCTCATTGTTTCACAACTCTGATTCATTTTCCTTTGACCACCCGAATAACACTGAGACAAATTTTGATTATGCCACTCAATTAGCCTCAATCGGACCATTAGGCCATATTGACATTTTGCATTTCAACCAATTACAGGGTGTCATTTTCTTTCTTTAATTTTTTTTTATCCAAATACAGATGTCTTGAGTGTTTATATTTGTGTCTTTGTGTATAAATCTCTAATTCGTTGCAGCTTTCAAGCTCACAACTTTCTGGTCATGGTTTAAATTTACAGTAAGTGATGGTTTAACAATCCCACTCTCTAGCCATGTTTTCTATTAGCATTACCTTTCCTCTTTGAGGTCTATTAAAATACCAAAGAGATTTTTGAGTTTGAACCATGTGGCCTAATCCAATAAAAGGGATCCGAGAACACAGTCGTCTTTCATCTTCTTCCAGTGTCCGCCCTCACAGAGCTGAAGTTAACATGTTCACTCACTTCAGTGCTGTCCAACATCTCGGAGAGTTCAAGCCCACCTTCTTTCAGCCTTCCCCTTTGGTAGGAAGAAAAGGGTTTTTGCCAGCATCCTCTTCCTCCTTTGCATGTGCCATGTCCTTTCATCCTTAAAGATGGGGCAATCTGGAAAGCGTTTCCTTCTTTAGGACTTCCCACTCCAAGAAGGCCTTTTACATGTAATTTCACACCTAAAGGATCTAAGGCTTAGGGTGTGAGCGACTGGGCCATGTGTGCATACACCACTGTTATAAATTAACTGTTAACTGTTTTTATTAAGGAGCAACATTTCTCCTGGTGCAATTGATTTTCAGGGGCATTTTTACTTCTACAAGGCATATTATTTCATGTAAAACACAAAGCATTGCTCATTTGTTGAATACTTTAGTTGAACTAGTTCAATTGAAATAAATAATCAGTCTAAACAATGACAATTGGCCTCGCTAAAACTGGGGCATTTCATGGGCATTTTTTACCCTTTGATTAAATACATTTTCATATGTATAAAAATTTATGTGAAATACTTCATTTGATTCAGTTAATTGAAATAAAATGTCAATCTGAACAATAAGTACATAAGTACTAGAATGCATTTACAATTATTTTTATGTACAATGTATAGTATAACATGCTGAAACCCATTATAGATATATAGGCCTAGAACAGCATATCACATATATTTAAATGTTAGAAAGCAACGTCCTGATCCAGGGAGGGTCTGTGTTGTACCAAATACCTTCCACTTCTTAATAATAGACTTCACTGTGCTTCTAGGCATTGATAAAGCCTTTTAATTTGTTTTTTTTGTCTGTCTTCTGACTTGTGCCTGTCCACAACTTTATCCCGGAGATCTTCTGACAGTGCCTTGCCACCCATAGTTGATTGTTTGCTTCAGTTGCACTACCAAGGGCTGAAATGCTACAGGAAAGCTCTTTTCATGCTGAGCTAATCAAAATGACCACAGCTGATCACAGTTGAAAGCCACATGGCTTTGTGTGCCATTGAGAAGGTTTTTTTTTTTTCTGACATGTTGGTGTTATACCTTTCACTTGGATGTCATAAGTTGCACTAAGTAAATACAGCTGGATAAAACAAAAACTGTCTTCATTTCAGGGTGCAAAGCAACAAAATGTGATTATTTTAAAGGGGGGTTATTCTTTTTAATATACACTGAACAAAATTATAAACGCAACGCTTTTGTTTTTGCCCCCATTTTTCATGAGCTGGACGACGAACTGCAGTCAGGTCGAGACCCCGCTGAGGACGATGAGCATGCAGATGAGCTTCCCTGAGACAGTTTGTGCAGAAATTCTTTGGTTATGCAAACTGATTGTTGCAGCAGCTGTCCGGGTGGCTGGTCTCAGATGATCTTGGAGGTGAAGATGCTGGATGTTGAGGTCCTGGGCTGGTGTGGTTACATGTGGTCTGCGGTTGTGAGGCCGGTTGGATATACTGCCAAATTCTCTGAAACGCCTTTGGAGACGGCTTATGGTAGAGAAATGAACATTCAATTCACGGCAACAGCTCTGGTGGACATTCCTGCAGTCAGCATGCCAATTGCACACTCCCTCAAAACTTGAGACATCTGTGGCATTGTGCTGCGTGATAAAACTGCACATTTTAGAGTGGCCTTTTATTGTGGCCAGCATAAGGCACACCTGTGCAATAATCATGCTTTCTAATCAGCATCTTGATATGCCACACCTGTGAGGTGGATGGATTATCTCGGCAAAGGAGAAGTGCTCACTAACACAGATTTAGACAGATTTGTGAACAATATTTGAGAGAAATAGGCCTTTTGTGTACATAGAAAAAGTCTTAGATCTTTGAGTTCAGCTCATGAAAAATGGGGGCAAAAACAAAAGTGTTGCGTTTATAATTTTGTTCAGTGTATATATATTTTAATAATAGATAGATAGATTTTTAATGCATTTGTTCTTCAGCCCCCCAAAAAACTTTAATTTCCACTTCTAAATATCATACGAAGGCTCACTATTTTCTGTTATCCCTCTTTATGTTCCAGCCCTTTACTAATAATGCATTCCAGTTGATTACAGTGTTTAAAGCTATGTTTCTGTCACATTGCTACTGTGTTGGAGTGCGGAGCGAGGACTGAGGAGATGAAGAGTACATCAACACAGGATATTTTAATAACTTCAAGGGAACCAGGAAAACACACGTAGCTGAGAAGGAGGTAGACATATACAGACATTCACAATACCGGACGACGAATGGACGTAGGAGACAGGCTTATAAAGGAGCACAAATGATAAGACTAAATTAACATGACTGGAGACAAAGCAACATAATCAGAACAGGAACAGGAAGAACCAAATAAGGGCAAAAGGAAACACATTGGAAAACCAGGACATGGAACACGAGGGGAGCAAAACACGGAACAGATTAGCCTTACATTCTCATTTAATTTGCATTAAAATGTCCCAAAAAGTTTTCCATTAAGCATGCATGATATATCCTGCATTCATCTGTGAATAATAAGAAGCACTGCACATGCATAAACACTGCAGCAGGGTCCAGTTTTTCATTATCTGCATGTGCAGTGTTTGTGTGTACAGACTTGACCGTGCAGGGTTTACTCACTTTATTTAGCAGATGCTTTTATCCAAAGCGACTTAATGAGGAACAGCTTGACAGCATGTCACAAGCATGACACATATCATAATGTTATGCAAGTGTCTTGCTCTTTTTCTTTTGGATTTACCTCCAAATAAATTGTTTATATGAATACCACCTGACTGAGCCAATACAAACCAGGAATGAAAACAGCTGAGACTGAAAAAGCACTCATGAGTTAAATCCTCAACTGACACATGCACAAATGCATAACCCTTGTTAGTACTGATTCCAATGTAATTTTGCATAATAAGAACATATTTTAAAGGGTCATGACCCCCCCCCCAAAAAAAAAAGATAAAAAAAGTGGGCGTGGTGCGCAGAGGAGGAGGAAGAGGGGAAACAGACAAACAACACACACAGCTTTGCGTTCGGACAGTTTCATTTCACTCCCATCGAGTTAAAAATACAAATAAATGCACAGCCATTTGCACTGTGCATCAAAAACATATGAACGCGCTGTTGCACCTCTAAGAACTTTTTAAGGCTTATTCTGTGGCGTTTATATAAGCCTTTTGACAGGTTGTGTCACAGAGCTGTTAAAACAGTTATGCTCACCAAGTGAATGAATCGCGTTTGTGCCGAACTCTTATTACAAAGCAAAAAGAAACACTCTTCTTCCATCCATGAATGTTTCTCTCAGTTAACATGGGCGATGTCATCTCACAGTCTGAAACGTATGTCATATCAAATCAACACATGCTGTTGTGAATAATTAAGCGAAGTCTCTACTCATAGGATAAGAACACAAAGAACACAGTTTTTTTTTACAACGACACGTCATCAATGTACTATAATCCATTGCCACATCACAAATTGTGACGTCAACACAATGTGGATTTTAAACCCGGAAGATGACAATGGCGCAAAAAAGCTTAAAATTAAACAGTTTTCTCCAACAGTTAAAATTACCGGATGCTAACGTTGTCTTCTATGATGTGCAACACAAACACCTCTGCTAAAATACCAGAAAAAGTAGTCTGGGGTTTCATGACCCTTTAAGTTATAGGCTAGGTTTTTTTTTCTTCCATGAACAAACTGTATTTTATTAGCCAGGCCATTCACACAGTAACACCACAAAATGTACAGATTTAGTTTATCCAAAAAAGACAATTTGCAGAAAAATTACACACCTTCAGGCCATTCAAGATGTAGATTTGGAGAAGTGTATCATTACAACACTTGCTCACCAATTAATCCTCTGCAATGAATGGGTGTTGTCAGAATGAGAGTCTGAACAGCTGATAAAATCATCACAATAATCCACAAGTAATCCACATGACTCCAGTCCATCAATCAAAGTCTTTTGAAGCAAATCTGTGTGAAAAATATGTGTTTGTAAAAAAACTAATCCATCATTAAAGTGTTTTAACTTCAGTAACTTCCGGCTATACGAGTCCTCTAACCATAATATTGCTTTCTCCAGTGTGGACTTTGATTTTGATGGCACCCTTTCACCGCAGAGGATCCATTGGTGAGCAAGTAATGTAATGCTCAATTTCTTCAAATCTGCAAACTCATCTACATATTGGATGGTCTAAGGATGAGTATATTTTAATTTTTGGGTGAACTACTCCTTCAATTGACCTACACTACATTGAGGAGTTCATTTATGTTTGAAAGATGTTTGCTTTAAAAGAAAACCATAAAATATAAAAATACTCACATTATGCAATAACATAAATCCATAGTGTCACTGTGCACTGGTGTAGAAGCTGTTGCATTTGTCTATGCACAGTGAGACAGACGGAGAGGGGGAGATGCCTTAGGCTGGCCACTGGCCATGTCCTCAGTTTATGTAAAAATGAGCCACCTCTGCTTGACCGGAGCACTGAAAATCCATCCTGGGGACACTTTGATTGGTCAGGAATGTGACTGTCACCTGACCGCCAGTAGGCAGAGTATAATAAACAGGTCTGTAGGGAGGTCAGCCTGCATTATTTGAGGCTGGTTTAAATAGCTGAGGTAAAAGCGAAATGATAGAGTTGGAGAGAGACAGAAAATACATGGCTAGTAAAGATATGGAGAAGGAACGCTTAAAGAGAAGCAGAGTGATAAGGAAAGAGGGAATGGAGCTGAAGGAAAGAATGCAGGAGAGTGACAGTGATATATAGGAAACAGAGCAGGGAGCAGAAACTAGGAGAGATGGCTCTTTTCAGACATTCTCTTCCTCTATTCACTTCAATGCCGGAGGGGCAGGGTGTGTGGACTACATTCATCCACAATGTCAGTATTTGTCAGGATTTTATCAACACTCAGGGATCCGGCCCTTACGTGGACCAGTAGAACACACTCTTTCAAGAGACCCTTGATATAGATGACCTAATTTCAAACATAAAAGCCTTTTTTATCCTCTTAGAGTTTATCAAACCCTATTGGACAAGTGATTCTAATTTTAATAATAATATTAAACTTTAATAATAAAAAAGAACTCATCTGATAAGACAGCAGTCCTTCGTCTTTTAAAACCACCATTCAGACATGTCATTGCTAGGTTAGTATGAACTAGAAAAAAGGCTATAAAAAGTGTCTTATGTGTTGCATATATTGAAATGAATTGCATGTGTAAAGTTACACATTTAGCATGTAGAGGAGTAGTCAGTTGAACAAATGCCGTACTTGTGGAGCATCCAAAAATAATGCAACTCTCAACTGATTTGATATTTTTTCCCTCAACACTGTGTATCAAGTA